CCCGGCAATACGGTTCCCAATAATCTTTGGACGGAAACTAAGAAGAAATCCAGAGTTCAGCCTGAGGAATGTCTTCGAGTCATTCGGCGCTTTGAGAGGTGTAGCGGCAACGGAGGGAGGTTCTCTGAGCATGCACAGAACGCCTTTCCCGCCTTCTCTAGTCAGCAGCCACAGCCGGGAACGAGAGAGCTTCTAACACCGTGCCTTTGAAAAATATAATCCCTGAAAAGAATTAAAAGTAATCGAAACAAACCACGGGGCCGAGTTGTTCCGATCCACCACCTTAACGTTTCCTCCTCGGGGAATTAAACCCTCTCTTGGACTGCGGTTTCCCTCCCGAGGTCCAAATCCGCACAGACCTTTCAAAGAGAAATCCCTTTTGGCCAATGCCAAGCTGCCCATTTCAGAAGCGGGGGGAGGGGGAGGCAGAGAATGGGGACCCGCAAAAACAAACAGTAGCACTTTGAGAACGACCAGATACCAGTTATGTGGACAGAAGTCACATTCACGGGTATATAATGGTGTCACTTAAAACTAGAGCGACAAAGAAAAAGAGGGGGGGGAACGGTACCCACAGGGAAAACCCTCTGATATTGTGTATCTGAGTGCCACATAAATCCATCGACTACCGACACATAACAAAGGCCCCAGCGAGATTTGAACTCGCGACCCCTGGTTTACAAGACCAGTGCTCTAACCCCTGAGCTATGGAGCCTCTCTCATGTCCAGACTTTCATCCACAAGTCTAGTCAGGTTGGAACTGAAGATTCTCCGGTAAAATAGTAAATATTTGGTCATATTCAGAACGAAGAATTCTCGCAAGTCTCCTACTGTCTTTCAGAAACTTTCCCATCTTTTCCATATTACAGTCATTTGTTAGATAACCCAGGAGGAGGTCCATTTCAAATCTGTGATTCTATGAAAGTAAATCTTTATCCTAGAGCTATTTTTATAAACTTTGTTTTAAGAGTCGCTTGGCCCAGCCTTTTTGGGAGCTCATTGCTCCCATTGCTCCAACGCTTAATTTTCCAAAAGACACTGCCGTCCTGTTGGCACAGATGAAATGTAGTCTGGCGAGTATCTAAAGAGAGCTTTTAATGTAAATTCGCAAAAGTTGGGCTCGTCCGGGATTTGAACCCGGGACCTCTCGCACCCAAAGCGAGAATCATACCCCTAGACCAACGAGCCAGCTGTTTAAAGAGCGCTTTAGCCAGTACTTACAGATGCCGGAAAACCAGTTCCGTCCTATGTAGCCATTATTTGGGGATTTAGTCTTAGCGCCACCTACTGACAAGAATGTAGACTTTTGAAAGCCTGGAGACAAATTCTGCTTTTGAACGTCGAATCTTACAAACAGTATTTAAAATGACCTTATTGACTATAGATTCAGGTCACCCTGCTGGTCTGAAGCAACAAAACAAAGTTGGGAGTCCAGTGGCACCTTGAAGACCAACAAAGGAGAATTTGGGGTAAGCTTTCGTGTGTATGCTTAAACTGTGTTCGTCTTCAAGGTGCCACTGGACTCCAACTTTGTTCTATCAAAAACCGAATAAATGTTTAATATTAGAAGAGTACTGTAGGAAAATTTGAACTCATGATGGATAAACAATGCTGCATGGAAATCTACAACAGACAAACACAGATTCCATCCTGTGGGTGGAAGGACAATTTCTATTTTCTGCCACTAATCTCATTTTGACTTATGAGAAGAGTACATTCATTAAATTCTATGGGATCTACTCAAAAGTAAACAAGCATAAGACTATGACCAAGTCATCCATTTTCACACGAAGAACAATTAATTCATTGTTATGAGATGTGACCAGTTTAGTCGGCTTTAGAAAAGGATAAAATAAATCTATGGAGGGCAGAGCCAACAGTGGTTAAATGGAACCTCCATGGTCAGAGGTAGTGTGTGCCTCTGAATACCAGATGCTGGGGGGAGCAATAAACAGAGGGAGACTTAAACCTTTGTCCCTCCTTGTGGGATTGTGGTGAGGAGCTGGTTGGCCACTGTGGGAAAAGAACAGAACAGAACAGAACAGAACAGAACAGAACGAAAAAAAGAAAGAAAGAAAGAAAGAAAGAGAGAAAGAAAGAGAGAAAGAGAGGGAGGGAGGGAGGGAGGGGGAGAGAGAGAGAGAGAGAGAGAGAAAGAAAGAAAGAAAGAAAGAAGGATGGAGGGAGAGGGAGAGGGAGAGGGAGGGAGAGAGGGAGAGAGGGAGAGAGAGAGAGAGA